CAGAGAGCTGGTCTGCAGAGCCTCTCAGCTCTCACCTTAATTTGACCCTGCTAGCTATCACACCCAGGCTGCTACTCAGCTCTCCTAGCTGACTAGGAGGGTGGTACACAATGCTGATGTTATAAAATGTATAGTATGTGTATGCTGTGACCATAGAACTCTATTAAAAAGCATACTCTTGCATTGGATGCCCCCTCCCCCTCACTATAAAGGCATTTTTAAATCCCAGAGTTCAGCTTTGAAAAAAATATTTTTTTATTATAATCAATTCAACTTCACTATAGCAACCATCAGACCAGTTAGAAAATTCCTCAGTAACGTCAGTACTGTGAACTCAAGTTGGTTTGCAGTGTAACTAAAGCTAAAACCTTTTTTTCAGCTATGGAAAGAGTGCAGAAGTGTCAAACCCTTTTGTCAGGTTATTATTGCCGTTTGCTGTTTATATGTGTCCAGTGAAGGGATTTATCTTCTCTATTTGTCCTGGTGCACACTGTCTTTGAGATAGAAAGGGATGAAAAATCCCCAATGGGACACAGACAGTAAAAAAAAAAAAAAAACTTGTCAGAGCTTTTAGCAAGTCTTTCCCCCCATCCAAATCTAAAAATAAAACTGTGTCTTTGTATAAACTTTAAATACTTTTGGGTCTTATTCTATAAACAATACACAAGGCAATGGGATGTGCAGAGTCCAGTAGAACTCAATCAGATTTCAGGTTAACATGATTTTTATTGGTATGGGACTTTGCACATTATTCTTGCTCTGAACTGCTTTTTGGCAGTAAGTAGAAGTCCAAGAAGAATTTTAATTTCAGCTGTTCTGAAATAATTGTTTATGACATGCACCCATGTTTATGGAATGCACACATTTTCTACTAGTAGTAAATGTCTAAAAATTTCATCCACATCTAGATTTATAATCATTAAAGAGTTATTCAGAATTGTTACTCTGGAACACTTTGCTAGGATTAGAGGGCAGGATGAAGTAATTCATTATTATGTGTAGCACTACCCTGTTAAGTGTTTCTAGGGCCCCCTACTCTCCACACAGCCAGGCAACGCACATTTTCCACACTTGCATCCACTGTCAGTGGACAGGTCATGAGCTTGATTTTTGTTATTTTATTAGGGCAAATAACATGGAAGGGTCATAAGGATTATGGGATGCCCAACTTGGCTGAAGAACCAGATCCTGGACTGTTCTTTTCCTTGAAAGCTATCAGTCACTATGGATCAGTAGCAACTGCCCCTTAGGGGATTGAGACTCGCAGCCCCTCTGAAATTTAGCTTAACTTGTTGCAAATTACATGCAGAGATATCTCCTCTCCCCTGTTGAACTTCTCCCAGCTCCACAGCCTTCAGACACTATCAGCCATCCTGGCTGCTCTGAAGATCTTGCAGAACAAGGATAAAGAATTATGTACAGTGCTCTCCTTTGAAAGATTGCTACATGTGGCAGTCTCTCCTCTTGTAAATCCCTGAGTATGCTGATGATGTACTCACTCTGTCCTCCTTACTCCCACTGCTCCCATGCTGTGATGCTGAATGGACCCTCCTGAACCAGCCCAAGCCAACCCTGGAGGCCAGCCCCCTAGACCTAGGGGAGACCTCCCAGGACACCGAGAGTCTCCTGAGCACTCCATCTTCCACCCGAGTCCCTTTCGAGCCTGACCCTCCCATATTTTTGGTTCGGTCTCACCCCTCTACCGGGCCCAAAACCTGGGATTGGTTAGACTCCCATAGACATGTAGATTAGGTCTCCACCTGTTCCGCCTACTGGCTTCTGAAAGGTTCCATGGTCCTCCAGAACCAGGCGAAGTTAACAGAGTCCCAATGGGCAGTGTCTTTTCATCAGTTCCTGTAATGCGACTGTGAACTCTCGCTATAGAAAGGGGGTCCCCCTCATTCTCTCTACAGAATGCCTCTAGAGATTCAGCTGTAGGAAGTGAAGAGTGAGAGGGTACTCTGGTCTCCCTGCAGCAAGGGTGGCAGTCTGTGTTGTACTGCCTTAGGTGTTTCTGCTGCAGACCTCTCAGCAGTCTGGTCAGTATGCAGCAGATGTGTTCTCATCAACTCCCTCAGCGCAAAGAGGATCTTAGCTGGACAGTATCAGAAAAACAGCTCCACTGCTCCTCCTTTCCCCAGTGTCTCTTGGAAATTCTAGTGCAAAAGGTCCATAAGCTTCACAATATGACTTACTTCCTGGACTTGAAATCCCATGATCCTCAGCGTTCTGCATAGGATTCCACAGGCTTTTTTGGCTATAGTTCTCCCTCTGCTGAATGGAGGGAATAGTGCAAGACAACATTCAGCGTAACAGCAGAAAGTAAACTGATTGTAAAGAGGGAAATGTCTCCTCCATGTTTCTGTAGTCCAGCATCTGGCTACATAAGACTCTATGCCCACTGGGTATGCACTGGCTAATGAGCATCTTGTAGATGTGCTTTGATGTGCTTTGACATGAGTTGTGCAGTTGTGCAGAATAGTCCATAATCACTGCTATGGTCAACAAAAAATATGTCCTAAAATTGTTAGTTTTACTTCTGTCAAACAGGGATGTTGAAAAAGGTTTATTGATCAGCAGCTGCAGCCACTTGGCTACATCCACTGATCAATGTATATGAAGAGTGGGGGGGATTCCTCTCTGTCTCGACTGTGTAAAGGAATCCATTCATTTTTTCAATCAGATCACTGACTGAATGAAAAAAAAGTCACCTATGGCCACCTTAACCTCTAACCTTGCCACTAAAACTTTACCTGTGACCTGCTAATACTTGTAGTGCCACTCTAAGCAAAGAAGGAGAATGTAATTAGCCTTGATGGCACTGGAATGGAGTATGGCTGAAAATATCACCATTCAGTAGTGTAGAAAAATCGCTGCTCATCCCAATCCAGTCTATGTGGTTAATATGTGTAAGATAGCCTCAGCCTTGCACCACTCCACAAGCCATGCCCTCTGAAATGTTTTGCTCCACCCATTGAAGGCTTAGTTATAGAGGACCTTACTGACTAAGCCCTGGTGGGTGTCAAAAGACGTGGTGCAAGGCTGAGGCCATCTTACACGTTAACCACATAGACTGGATTGGGTTGAGCAGTGATATTTATAAGTATGCTAAAACTTTACTTGTCACTTAAACCCCTGAATCCTAATTTTAACTTTAGCCTTTAACATTTCAACGTAACCCAAATCCTAAAATAAAGGCTCATTTGCACCATTTGCATTGGGCTGTGCTGGAAAGCCTTTTTCCAGCTCAGTTTTAATGCAAAGAAAAAGCAATTTGATAAAACTTTGATTTGGCCTTCACCTTAAGGCCAACCCCGCAGCAACCTGTAATCACTTTCCCTTTGCTACCCCACTATGTGAAGTGACATACCCAGTGATTTTGTGTATTTGGGAGCATCTAACTCACTGTTCATATGAATTCATTATTTTATTACTAGTATTTATATAGCAAGAGCAATTTATATTAGTCCCTGTCCCCAATGAGCTTACAATCTAAGGTCCCTAACTTACATTCATATATACACATACTAGGGCCAGTTTAGCCAATTAACCTACAAACATGTGTTTGGAGTGTGGCAAGAAACCTACATAGGCACAGTGGGAATATACAAACTCCAGTAAAGCAGTGTCATGGTTGGGATTTGAACTAATGACTCTGGTGCAGCCAGGCAGAAGTGCTAGCCATTGAGCCACTGCATCAATGGAAAACATCAGCATTAAGAATTCACAGTATGATGCGTAAAAAAATTAGTTCCTTCTTGCTAATGTAGCTGTAGCTCCCCCCTGACTCCCCTGGAGGCAGGATAGTACATGGAGCATGGAGGGCATGGAGCGAGCTAGCATTTATCCCAGGGCTGAGTCCATAACTAAAAAGGGGAGATTAGAACAGAAATTGGCCACCAGTCACTTTAGGTCTTTTTCAAAGCTTTAATGTTGAACTTGAAAGGAAGTGGAAGAAGAAGGGGGTTAAGGGTTTCAGATGCCATGCAAATCACAGCTTTACAGTGTCAGAACCGTTAAGCCAACCCAGCAACACATCCAGGGCATTGAGGCAGTAATTGCTGCAAAAGGGGCCCAAACCAAGTACTGAGTACATATGCATGCTTATACTTTTCAAAGGTCCGATATTGTTGTATGTACAATCCTTGTTTTATTGATTGCATGTAATATTCTAATTTTCTGAGATTGTGGATTTGGGGTTTTCATGAGCTGTAAGCCATAATCATCACAATTATGACAAATCACGGCTTGAACTATCTTGCTTTGCATGTAATGAGTCTATCTCATATATTAGTTTCACCTTTTAAGTTGCATTACTGAAATAAATGAACGTTTGCACGATATTCTAATTTTTCGAGTTTCACCTGTATATTCTCTCTCAGAATGCACCAGTGGCAACAGAACCTCCTATTGGGCTGTCTGAAAGAAATACAAATATTCATAACTCAGTCTATGTGTGCATTCTCATACTTTGACCTGTGGTATCAGTGACACTTACTGGAGACAGTGAGAAATGCACAACCCAACTGAGATTAGGGAAAACCAAATAAAGAAACTGTACAGTCTGAGCTAACTAAAGCCCAGCCAAAAGCTAAATTTGCATAGTATCCCCAATTTAGGAGCAGGGGGGCTACACTATGAATAAAAAACACTATCCCCCTATGTTATATTGTTGAAAATATTTTACAGCTTGAGCATCTAATGCTTTTTCTAGCAACCAATCTCAGGATACCATTGTATAAAGAACACAACACTGTATATCTCTGCTATAGAATGTACTTCATATTTGCAATTGTGTTTGTTACTTTTTTAATAGAAGCTGGCGACCTTCTAAGGGAATGTACTTTATTTTAAGCCAGACTGACACAATCTAGTATGCAAATATGTTTTACACCAAAAGAAAAAATAGCAATTTGGGTTTTTTTTTTGCTCTTTGACAAATAAAACTTCAAATATTTAATTTAATTTAAACTGATCATATATTTTTGCTTATAGGAAATATGACAGCTAAAGAAGACTACAGTGCACTTGTCCATGGCCTGTGTAGCCTGGACTTCTCTGGAGACAGCAGACCCTGCCAGCTTCTCCTGACTGGTGACACGGCCTTCCCAGTGTTAGTGACACCAGCACAACATGTCCTTCTGGCTGCCTCAAAGTATGAGAAGGGTAAAATAGTGGTCATGAGCCATGACTCCTATTTAGACCAACCTCAATTCATGGATTTCCTGAAGAACGCTATATCCTGGCTGAAACCATCTTTGGAATCAGTAATTGGAATTAACAACAATCTAGATCACCTGGAGCAGACTCTGTCCTCCTCTGGACACAAGGTAGAAAAGGTGTCTGGTCTGAAGAATGATCTAGGGGTGTTCTGCACTACTGGATATGATGACAGCCAGGCAGAAGATATTGTCACATTCTTGAGACAAGGTGGAGGTGTGCTTATTGGCGCTCAAGCTGTGGACTGGTCTCAATCTCACCAACAGGAAAATGTCCTGTGTCATTTTCCTGGGAACAAAATAATATCAGTTGCTGGAGTGTATTTCACTGACAAATATGGAGAGAAAGGGAGCTTCCCTGTGAGTGAGAACATACCATGGATTCCAATGTATCAAGAGTGAGTACCCTATAACTAATAGTCCTTGCTGGAAGGAAGCAAATAGATAGCCCTTACATACAGTAGGCACCAGCACAGGTTTTGTACATATGGTGTGTGAACTGTGAACCAGATCAGTAACTTGTGAATCACCCAGAAAATATGGTCTACTCAGTAGTGTAGAGCTGTTGGAACTACTACTTCATTCATAGCACTTCCACAAACGTGATCTGCATCAAACACTTCAAATACAGTAAAATATGGCAATAGTACTTTGCACATCCTTTTAACACACTGTACAGCAGTGAGAAAAATTGCTATGGTATCAGATATAATTTTTCTTATTAAGTACATGCATGCACTTGCATAGAGCTGTAATAAGAAATAAATCGGTCTCTATAGTTTAGAAAATTCATATTATTATATTTTGATTTATTTTATCATATCTTTATAACAATATTAAGTAAATGTAAATATATAAGTACCATGTTGTATCTCCAAAGGTTAATTTTTAGATTCTATTTTTCACAGGCGCCGCAGAATCAAAATAATGCACTGCAGGGATCTGTTCATGTCAAAATATACACAGAAATTTAAGTGCCCAGTAAGTGCCTTTGCCTAGGCTGAGATGAGGCCATCAGTTTGCTGCAAGCAGAAGGAAGCATTCCTTTTGCCGTTTCTCACACAGTTACCAGACTGTAACATTGTAGCTCTACAGCAAATGCCAAGGCCAGTGGGCTAAATGGAAAATAAGTTACAAAAAAGATTCCTCTATCCACACAAACGAGGACATTGTATTCTAATAGCAGGACCCTTTGATGTCAGACTACGTGGATCAGTGTCTGCAGCCGATTGGCTACAGCCACTGATCAACAGAAGTTTTTCAGCATGTCCCTTTGACAGAATTCAATAAAATACATCAATTGATCTAGTTCATTACTTGGCATGCATGTACTTAATAAGAAAAATTATATCTGATACCATAGCAATTTTTCTCACTGCTGTACAGTGTGTTAAAAGGATGTGCAAAGTACTATTGCTATATTTTACTGTATTTGAAGTATTTGATGCAGATCACGTTTGTGGAAGTGCTATGAATGAAGTAGTAGTTCCAACAGCTCTACACTACTGAGTAGACCATATTTTCTGGGTGATTCACAAGTTACTGATCTGGTTCACAGTTCACTCACCATATGTACAAAAACCTGTGCTGGTGCCTACTGTATGTAAGGGCTATCTATTTGCTTCCTTCCAGCATTGAAAACAGAAATCATTATTATTCATATACTCATGATTCACTTTTTATTATGTCATTGTTAGCAGGTATTAGGGGTCTATTTATCAATGTTTTCAAAAAGATTCACACAACCTAGTGTAAGAGACACACTGGTGCTGCTCCTAGCTAGAGACTGGAAAGGAATCATTTCACCGACATGGGAAGGGAGAGCGGTGTCATCAAATGGTTCCAGTAACATTCATAAAGCTCAAGAAAGGATGCCGCTCTGACCACCCTTGGAGTCCGGTGTGTGGTATGGCCTTATTGGCCACTCCGGAATAATATTATTTGTTTAGGTTTTAAAATTTCCTGTTTTTCATTTTCTTCTCTCATTTTTTGTTATTTTTTCACATCATACATTTTTTATTCACTATTATTTTTTTCTGCTTGGTATTTTTTCCTTTGTTTATTTTTATCTTTGCTGTACTCTGTTTTCATCTCACCTTCATTATCTTCCTTTTCAGCACACAATGGTTAATATGCACTAATTTCATGGCCAAAGATGTGGATAAAATCTCTGGCATCTGTTGTCTCTCACTCCTCTGTGATCAAGCCCTGGTGGGTGTGGCGACATCCATCAGAGGAATGGCTGGAGTAGAGGTTGATGCCATAGCACACGCCGGATTACAAGGGCGGCCAGAGAGGTGTCCTTTCTTGAGCTTTATAAAGATTCACACAAACTTTACCAAAGGATCACATATTTTTCTATTTAAATCTTAGGTGGAACATGTGAAAATCTTGGGTGAATGTTGTATGAATCTTGGGTGAAACATTGACAAATAGACACCTTAGTGTTCTAATAATATGTAGTACAACCCCCTTAAGAGTTGCTGAAGATTTGGGTCCCCCTATGGTCCTGCACAGCCAGGCAACATGCATTTTCCCAGACATGCATTCCTGAGACAGTAAACAGTCCTTGAGCTTGGTTTTTAAAGGAGAAGTACAGCCAAAACTTGTTTGGCTGTACTTCTGTGGATCAAAGGAGTGCAGTTCATTCTGCACTAATGTCATCCGTTTTCAGATGACAGCAGACTGAAGTTTGCTGTCGGCTGACATCACTCAGCTGGTCCAGGCTGGAGAAAGATCTCGACTTCAAAGTCAGGATCCACCCCAGAGCCTAGAGTGGTACCTGGTTCAGCCTTTCAGCAAAGCCTGAGCCAGCCGCTCCCTCCCCCTCCACAGCCCAGTGCTCTAGTGAGTGCTGGGGGTGCAGAACAAAGAGTGGTGACTGACAGTCCTGCTCTCTGCTCAGAGCAGCTGTGAGAACTCAGCAATCAGTGGTCATGTCATCGCTGGGTTCTCACCCTTAGAGCCAGTGGGGGACAGATACAGCATCTGACTGATGCTGCATCCACCTAGGTAAGTATAAATAGGGAAAAAAAATCTCAAAATCCCTACTTCTCTTTTTAAGTTTTATTAGGGTTTTGAACTTGGATGGGATAAGGCTTGTATGGGATGCCCAAGGAAGAGTAAACTGAGGACAACTTCCTGGCAACTGTGTACAAGTCTTTTTACAGCAAAAAGTTCTTGGAGAGCTCTCCAGCATCTCCTGGTGTACCACCCCAGACCCCAGATGAACCCTCTTCTCATCCAGCTAACTGAAGGAAATCCCTGGGCAAGGGGGTCCAGTGCCTGCAACTTTAGGTTGAAATAGTCCCGGGTAAGGAGCTAGTCAGGTTTCCCACCAAAATGCCCTTTCCCTTTAAATGGCCCAGGGGGTTTAGGATTACACACTCTTCCTCTCCTGTGCACTTGTTGGGTTGGTGGTTGCCATCAGGCCTTCTGCTGGGCTGGCTCCGTCCCTGCTGCACAGGTGGTCCTCTCTCAGGGGACTCCTGAGGCTGAGTGACACCTTTCCAGCAACTCTGCTTGGAGATAGGTCCCTTACCACTGAGTCCCCTCCCAGGCTTCTGCAACTCATCCTTCCTCACATCTTCCACCTGAAATTCCGTGCCTCTGAGCAGGCTCAGTCACTCTTAAGGGCTATCCTGACCCCATGCAAAGCCTTCTGCCTGGGGATTGGCCAGAATCCCTCAAGTGTGCAGACCAGCTCCTCTTCACTCCCGCCCACTTAGTTCTAAAGACTTCTCCAAGTCTCTAGTTCAGGGGGAGGTATCAGGATATTGATCTGCAAAGCCTCTCAGCCCTGACCCAGGTTTGACCCTGCTGACTATATCCCCAAACTGGAAAAAAGCACACAGGTGTCGCAAACACCTAGCACATTATCCAAGGTTTATTAAAATGTTTTCAAAAGACATAAAACATACTCACAAAATAAGTGCATGAAAAGCCTGTAATGCCACAGAGATGGCCCAAAATGATGGCACAGTGTCCGACTGGTGGTGTGGTCGGCCTGCTGATGCATTTTGGGGATGTGTCCCTTTCCTCAGAGCTTTTCTGCCATCTCTGTGGCTTTACAGGCTTTTCATGCACTTATTTTGTGAGTATGTTTTTTGTCTTTTGAAAACATTTTACTAAACCTTGGATAATGCACTAGGTGTTTGTGCCACCTGTGTGCTTTTTTCCAGTTTTGTTGATCTCCTAATCTGAGGAGGGTTGCATCACCAGCAATTTATCCATAGGTCATCTACACACCTGTTTCCCTGGGTTCTTCCTGGCATTGACCCCTTTGAGGCCCGGGAGAGTTACTGCTTTTTAACTATATCCCCAGGCTGCTACTCAGCCGTTCTAACTAAAAAAATAATTAACTAACTCCCCTTAGTTAACTAGGAGGGTGCTACAAATAAAAAAGAAAAGACCACTTTTTGTACTGTATATAGCCATTCATTCAACATATCAGTATGTGCCCCACTTTAATCTTACTTGCTATGTATTGTCATTATTCCTGTTTCTTTTTTTCTTGTATGCAAAACTAATGGCTGCAGGGGTGTCTGATTTTCTTTAATACAGTATAGATTTTTCAGTGGATCTAAAGCATCTGATGCAAGGTGTTAATGACTTGGACATCAGTGGAGGATGTTTGCCATCAGAACTTCTTCTTCATGGACCTCTAACATTTCCAGTTGGGCTCAGCAACAACAATCAATGCTTTTTTGGAGCTGCATACTACGGCAGAGGACGCGTTGTTGTAGGAACACATGAAAGTTTCCTGGACAAACAAGAGCTAAAGACCTTCATTCTCAATGCTGTTTCCTGGCTAGACATGGGCAGAAATGGAAGGATTGGTGTTAAACAACTGGGAAATTTCTACCGTATATTACAAAATGAAGGTTTATCTTGTGTGGCTTCTGACTTGATTCCTGGTCTCAGTGTTTATTGCTGCACCTCGTACAGTGATGCAGAAGCTGAAAAGATTCATAGATTTGTAGCAGAAGGTGGTGGTCTGCTCATCGCTGGCCATGCCTGGTACTGGGCTTACTCCAACCCAAATGTACTTTCCCAGTACCCAGGTAACAAAATCCTCAACAAGTTTGGAATTAGTATTCTATCAGGAACAGTCGGGCAAGGAGTTTATAAGGCTTTGGATCTCAAAACATTTGATAGTACATACCACTTCCCTAGGGCAGTCTGCGAGCTGCTAAGAGACTTGAAAAGTGGAGTTGAGCTAAAACCATATCTCAGCTCTTGGCTGGACAAGCTCAGACAAGATGTCTCATCATACATGAAGCTTCCAGCCAGCCCTCTCACCTCGTCACTACAGCAAGAACTAGCAAATTTAGTAAAAGGGGGTCATTTACCTACTGTCAGTAAACAGTGTCCTGTGAAAAAAAACACCAAAGAGGCTTTTATGGTGTGTTTGGCTCAAGACGTCAGCTGCCTTGAATGTCTGGATGACAGTGGGGAAGGTGACAATGATTTAATGGACCAGTGCCCCGTTACAGTTCAGATTGATGCCACAAACCCAGGTAGAATATTAAAAAGTATGCCTTTGACTCCTTCTATGGAAAATGTGTTGGTGTATTAACATTTACTGCACTATTCCTAGGTGGTGATGCATGGAGAAGTACCGGACTCTTTCTGCCCCCTGGAAAAACTGTATTGCTAATGTTTCCAGCATCAGCTGCTGGAAAAGGTCTAAAGGTATTTATTTTATAAATGCTATTCTGAGTACTTAATTTTGTTGCCCTTATTTGCAGCTTCATTTTGCATGTTGCTCACTTGAGTTATCCAATCATGTAAAAAGCAAATTACAATTCACTTTGAATCCCCAGCCATGTGCAATTGAAATAAGTGAATATAAATTTGCTTTTCAAATGACTGGATAATTGAAGTGAATTTTCACACAATATAGTAGTGTCCTTTTATCATGCAGTGGTAAATGACTGCTGCTCAGTTCTCCGGCATTCTCAGAGGAGAGAGTTCTCCTCTGAATCCCTTTTTATGAAGTGGTGTAGATCACTTCTCCAAATGAAGAGAGAAGTGATCTACAAAAACGCTTTGAACACTAGAAAACGGCTCGCGAGACTATAGTAATGAGATCAGTCAAACACTGTTTACTAAGCAGCGGTAAATTACCACTGCTTCGTTTCCTAAACCAATAATGATCTGAGATCAGCAACGATCCTAAGGATCGCCACTGATCTCCATTTCATAAAAGGACACCCATAGTATATGAAGACTTTCAACTCCTTTGGTTAAACAGGCTCATTGTGTATACGTCAGCTTGTAAGCTGGAGACATTTTGCAAGGGCTGTATTCCACACAGTTTCATCTGGAAAAAAGAAATAGTATTTTTAATCTTAAATTCTGATTTATTTATTACAGTATAAGAGAGAAATGGTTCAAAAACAGAAATTTGGGGTACACTACTTGCAACATTTTCACCATTTAGGCTTCATGCACATGGCTGTAAGATGACATTCAGCATTCATGGAGTGTAAAAAGTAGGCATAAGATGTAGTTCACAGCCTCCCATTGCAGTGCTAAATGACAGTTTACACCGGAACCTGCATTAATTTGCACATGCACTGGCATACACCTCTGGATACAGCCTGTGGCTCCTTTACACTGGCTGTTTATGCTCTGTGCATGCAGAATGTCCTCTTTACATGTCATGTGCTTAAAGTCTTATAGTATGAATCCTTGATCATGACTATCTAACTTAGTAATTTGTAGTGAATATGTTTACCTAAGTTCAAAGCCAATCTGCAAGCAAAGCTCTCTTCCCTCTAATCAATTCCTTCCACCCCAATCCACCCATTTGAAAGCTTAAAGGTTTTTCTGCTTCCTGAAGTTCTGAGCTGTGGAACATAGTGATATAGCCTATACTTGTGCCAACCGGTTGCCTGTTCATAATGTCAACACGCTGCTGCAGAATGCACCACTGGACACCTATAGATGTGTCTACGGCAACTTGGCAGAAACATGGACAAAAAAACAGACCTTCTTCCTCTGCACTGAAGAAGACAGAAGACTGAGGATCTGATGTGTAACGTGGCCATGGATTTAGGCACTTAAGAAGGGACATTTAATGTATGGGGTTTTTTTTAATTATGTAAATACACACAGATACTATTAGAATATATTATGTCATACTTATTCTATTTTGATTCACTTCTAACACCCTTGACATTCTACACCAGAGTCCTGTAACCAGCTATGCCCTATTATAGAATACTCAGCTCTTAACTGGTTAGTTCAGCTAACTTCTGTCTCAGCTTATAACTGAAGAAATTAACACTATCATTGGTTCAAGGCCATTCACACATTTTAATATTAATTATGATTAATCATAAAAACCAAATATTTTGCAAGCTTGCCATCAATATAAGTGCCAAATTATGAATTTGATATAATAATATTTATCAAATTAACAAAGAATTTAGATGGGGAAAGGGTTAGGTTAAGTTTTAATAAAAGACATAAACTGAGGTCCCAGCAGGTGCCACCACAAAAAAGTTTCAAGCCTAGTGAGTACATCACAAGGATTAATGTAGTGCGAGGGTATGTGTAATGGGTATCCCTAGGCTTCACTGCACACAGCCAGGCAACAGGTATTTCTTTCACACAGACTTGCATCCACAAGCAGTGACCAGTCGATTGGTTTTGTTTGTTGAGCTTGGTTTTGTTTTTTTATTAGGGGAAATAAACTTGGATAGGAAAATAGGGATCAGGTATAAGGATTGATCCCAGTGTTTTTCTTAGAAAGCTTGCAAGATGTGGCAGTCTTTCCCTTTGTAGATCCCAGAGTGTGCTGCTGTACTCACACTGTCCTCTTTGCTCCCTGCTTCTCCAGGCCTTGATACTATTCATGCTGAATGTATCCTCCCGAGCCAGCCTGAACTCAGCCTGGAAGCTGCAACCCCCCCCCCCCCCCCCCCCCCCCCGGAGCTAGGGGACCCTTCTTAGGCACCCCAATCTCCTCAGCACTCCATCTTTCACCCCACTTCTCTGTCAGCCTGACTCTCCCATATTTATAGGCCAGTCTACCACTCTACCAAAACTGAGATTGTCCGGACCCCTCATGAAAGTGCAGACCAGGCCTCCACCCATTCCTGCTTACTGACTTTGGGAAGGTTCTATGGTCCTTCAGAGTCAGGCGGAGGTGATAGAGCCACAACCTGTTGTGTCAACCAGCTGACGTGCAATATCCTTACCTCAATCACAGACTCATACAACTACCATGAGTCATACACAATGATTTTACCTATGATACACTGCACTATTCTAGCAGCACACTAGAGGGTGCTACACTAATAAAAGCTGTTTCTTTTCTTCAGGAACTGGGTAAAAGAAAGAGGGAACACTTGGACACAATGTAAAAGGGGAGGTTTAAGGGTCAACTTTGGTTATTTTTATACAAATCCTTCAAGATTAGAATTGCTGAAATTTCAATATTCAGTGACCCTCTTGTACATGTTTAATTATACACATTTATTTTACTATATTTCCAGGTTCAGGTTGGCTGCCAGTCAGATAATCTGAGTGGAGCAAAGGAGTTCTATCGTGCTCCTGTAGTTATACATCAGAAAGATGTTCGTGGAGAAAAAGTGAAAATATCTTGTATATGGGGAGGTCTTCTATATGTTATTGTTAAAGAAAAAAGCCATTTGGGTATGATTCCAGTTACAGTGTATGGTGCAGAAAATGCTCCAACATTCATTAAGGGTAAGTATTTGAAAATTTAATATACTGAGTATAGGATGAAACTTGTACTGTAAAATTTGGTTCTTGGAGTACATCATGGGACACAGAGCCGCTATAATATTCCTTACTCATAAGGTTATGAGCTACCTATAGGTGAATGGACACTGACAAAAAAAAGACAGGAAGTTCTCCGCAATATAACTCCTCCCATACAGAAAGTACCTCAATTTTGTAGCAACCAATGAACCACCACACAAAAGGGGAGGGATATCTGTGTCCTGTGTACTCCAAGAAATGGCGTTTACAGGCAAGCACATAACTTTAGTTTTCTTTATTGCACATCATGAGACACAGAGCCACCACATTATTCCTTACTCATAGGGATGCCCCAAAGCAATGGTCATGAAAGGAAGGAGACAAAACCACCATGGACAGGCCAAAAATAATCTATTCATTACAAGAAATGCAGTATTCTTAGTGGCTCTAACATCCACTAGGTAAACCTTAGCAAAGGTGTGAACCCAAAAAGCTAGGTTGTAGTCTTACAGACCTGAGCAACTGAAGCCTGACAGACAGTCCAGAACGCACAAACACTCCTGGTGGAATGTGCCGTCACCGGAAATAACATAGTCTTTTCTTTCAAACCATAGGCTTGAGACATAAGCTGAAGAAACCAAAGGGAAATTGTCGATTTGATAGCCTCATGACCCTTCCCTTGTCCTTCAGGAAAGACAAAAAAGTGATTCTGACTGCCTGACTACCTATAATTTGTGAAGGGCCTTGTTTCCCGATGACTAAGGCCTGGGGAAAAAAAAATCAAAAACAACTCCATGGTTCAGGTGGAAAGATGAACCTTTTCCAGCAAGAAAACTGTTGGTGTTGAAGAACCACCTTAACATGGTGGAGTACCAGAAATGGCTCCTTTGCCAGAAAGAGCCATCAATTCTGAGGTCCCACAGGAATAAGGTAACCTGCCAAAAGGAACCATATGCGTGACCTCTTGAACAACAGGCACGCCCTTAAGAATGAGAATCAAATGGCCTTAAAAATAGGACTGCCAGGGCCGAAGGCTGCCTCTTGATCATACTTAAGGACAGTCGCATATCTATTCCAAACTGGAGAAAAGCCAAGATCTAGCTCCCAACATATTTATGAGGATGAACTTCCCATGCCAAATAGCATTTCCTAGTTCTGTGGTAAATTTTCATTGAAGCAGTCTTCCTGGCTCTAAAAAGCTTGGGGATGGCTGCATCAGACACTCTCCTATCCCTCAAGACTCTAGTTTAAAAAGCCATCAACTGTATGGAAGGTTGGAAGATCGGACCTTATGACAGGAGTTCAAATTATCCAAGTGCTGTCCACTGACATAATTACAATGTAAGAATGCCACGTTCCCCTGGACCAACTGATGCGATTAGGATCACTAGCATTCCTCCCAACTAGATCCTGTGAAGCAGATGTGGAGGTATCTGTAATGGAGGAAAATAAGGTAGGGTTGGTCCCACTGCATCATCAGAACATTTACTGCAAACTCTTGAGGATTCCTGAACCTGACCCTGAGTCTGTCCAGTTTGCACTGAACCTGGATGTCAACAGGTCTATTTTTGGTGGGCCTCAAAGCCATCAGAGAACCTATAATACCTTTAGTGACAATTGTTGATAACTAAAAAATCTGATAGCCTGTACCTTACCCCCAGACCACCTCTACCTGAGCTGCCAAGCTTCTAGTGCCTCCCAGTGATAGATGTATGACACAGCT